GACATTAAGATGGAGAATAAACACATGAAGGAATGTTAAAAATCTCTAAGAGAAATGCACTCTTACCCACCAGGATCCAACTATGACAAGCTAAAGGCTCACTCACAAGTAGGACCAGACAGACTTTAAAATACAAAGGCCCACTCACCAGATCCTATTTGCCTACACAAGAGGCTTCCCACCTAAGCTAACTGTAAACAAGATCAGATACTTGGTTGGTAACACAATTAGAAACACCCAAACAGTTTACTCCCTGCTTTCAAGGAAATCACAAACACCCACCAGAATCCAACTTCACCAAGCTAAAAACTCATGCACAGATAGTACCAGACTGACTTAAATAAAGGCCCCCCACCAGATCAGAAAGGTGATCCAGCTGAATTTGGAAATTATCAAACAATATCATTGATATTAAATGCAAGCACAATATTGCTGAAGATCATTCTAAAATGGCTGGAACAGTACAAAGATAAGGAAGTTCCAGAAGTTCAAGCAGGATTTAGAAGAGGCCGTGGCATTAGGGATATCACTGCTGATGTCAGAGGATCCTGGCTGAAATTAAGGAATACCAGAAGAATGTCTATTTGTGCTTTATTGACTACGGAAAGGCTTTTGACTGTGTGGATCATGATAAGTTGTGGCTGACAATGAGAATGGGAATCCCAGAGCACTTGATTATGAGCATGTGGAACTTATACCTGGATTAGGGGGCTGCTGTGTGAACGGAGCAGGGGAGCACTACATGGTTTGGAATTGGGCAGGCAGTGCGTCAGGGTTGTATTCTTTTTCCATACCTCTTCAATCTATATGGTGAGCAAATTATACGAGAATGTGGACTTTATGATGAGGCAAAGTGTGACAAAGAGATTGGAGGGAAACTCATCAATAACCTGCTTTATGCAGATGACACAACCTTGCTTGGTGAGAGTGAGAAGGACTTGAAGCACTTGTTGTAGAAGATTAAGCTTTCAGCATGGATTGCATCTTAATATCAAGACAACAAAGATTCTTACCACTGGACAAATAGGCACTGTCGAGGAGACTGAAACTGTCAACAGTTTCATCTTGCTTAACACCCTTGGTACAAGCAGCCAGGAAATAAGGAGATGTGTTGCACTGGGAAAATCTGGTTAGGGGCCTTTCCAAATTCTTGAGGGGTACTGATGTAAGTTTGAGGACTAAGACGTGTTTGATTCAGGCCATAATCTTTCTGATTACTAACTATGCATCCGAGACCTGTACAATGAATAAGGATGACAAAAAAAGAATTGATGCCATTGAGTTATGGTGTTGGAGAAGAGCACTGAACATCCCATGGATGGCCAAGAGAACGAGCAGATATGTCTTGGAGAGCATGCAGCTGGAGTGTTCTTGGGAGGCAAGAATGATGAGGCTTCTCCTCACATACTTTGGGCATGTTGCTAGAAGGGGTTATTCCTTGGATAGGAACATGAGGATGGGAAGGGTAGAGGGTTAGTGAGGGTGAGGAAGGCCCTCAACTAGGTGGATTGACACAGTGACTGTTGCAATGGGCTCTGGTGTGTCAGATAGTAGGAGGATGGTGCATGACAGAACAGGGTTCAGATCTTTTGTTCATAGGGTTGCTATGAGTTGTGCTTGACTAAACAGCACCTAACAACAACAACAACTAAAAGAGAAATGTAAATCAAAAGAACTAAGAGCTATCATCTCACCCCAATAACAATAGCCAAAGTTCAACAGAGCAGCAAACAACAGATGCTGGTGAGGTTGTGGAGAAATTGGAATGCTTATTCACTGCTGGTGGGAGTGTAAAATGGTGCAACCACTAAGGAAGTCAGCATGGCTTTTCTCAAAAAGTTGGAAATAAAAATACCATTAGACCCAAAAATTGTACTACAGAAAATATACCCTAATGAAAGCAGAGTTGTCACCCAAACAGATAATACACACACCCAAGTTTATTGCTGTGTTGTTCACAACAGCAAAGAGATAGAAGCAATGTAAGTTCCCATCAACAAATGAATGGATAGAGAAGCTGTGGTATATTCACACAATGGAATACTATGCAGCATTGAAAAACAAGGAACTAATGAAATATTATTCAAAGTGGGTCAACCTGGAGGACATTATGCTGAGTGAAGTATCTCAGTCAGAAAAGGACAAATACTGCATAACACCATTGTTATAAAACAAGAGTGACAAGGGGGTTGGGAGGAAACTAAGAGGGGATAAATAATGAACACTGCATTGGAACATATGAAGGAATGAACCCTTTAAAGAATATATAATTACGTATTCTTTGTATGACAATAGTCCAGAATAAAAGGTGTCTGGCAAAGAAGACTGTGGTGTAATGAGGGAGGAATTTCTGCAACAATGATTGAAATTTTTTTTAAATGAAACTGGGAAGGTAGGGAGGGAAAAGTGCAACAATGAATGACTAGAAATCCAAGTTTTTGTAAACTTTCATTGAAATCATAATTAAAAAATTATTTTAAAAACTAAAACAAGTGCATAGGCTGGAGTTAAAAATAAATAGTTCTGCAAAGATACACAAATAACAACCAGGTACATGAAAAGATGTTCAGTTATATTAAACCCAATGTCTCAATTATACCCTGACTCACAGCAATGCTAGGACAGAGAAGAACTACCCAGAAGGCTTCCAAGGCTTTAAATCGTTATTGAAGCTGTCTTCCTGATCTTTTTCCCCATGGACTGGTGGGTTTGAAGTACTGACCTTTATTAGCAGCCCAATGCTTTGACCATTGTGTCCCCAAGCTCCTTTCACTGCGTTAAAAAACAACCCACCTCATTCCCATCAAGTCAGAAACAACTCATTGCTGGCTGTATTCATTGTTCAATCTGTTCAGATTAATACCAGACCAGTTATAAGAAGTGCTGAGTCAACAGCATCCCAAACATTTGATCTACTATATAACTCCATGCTTTCTGACATCACCAGTCCCCTCCTTCATTTGGCCTCCCCCACCCTCTACTCCTCTGTCCCCTTTGGGTTTGGTGGTTCAGTGGAAGGTCTCCCAGAGGAAAGACTTACGTGACTGTAGGTGATTCAGGCCAGTATTGCAGAGACTTGAGAGTTGTGCAGCTGGATACTGTGTCCCAGGATAGCAAGCATCCCAAATAGAGAGCTAGCATTGAGTTCCCATGAGCTTAGATAAGCCTCTGGTTGAGTGGGGCTCATTTCAGACCATAATCTTTGTGTGTGTGTATACCTTCAAATTGGATCCAACTGGTGTAGGAGATTGCCCCTCTTTCTCCAATGGAGCATCTGGTGGATTTGAATGTCACCATAATCTTATCTCCTTAATACAATAAATATTTTAGCATAAACAGTTAATGGCTAGTAAAGACATTTTGAGAATAAACCTTTGACAACATACTCCAATGGGTTTTCAGAGGCTGTAAACTGCAAGAGATTGCCCACCTTTCTCATGTAGAGTTGCTGGTGGAACTGAACCACCAGAGTGGCACCATCTTTGGGCTACTGGCATAACTACCGACTAGGCCACCAAAGCTCTCTTCAACTGCATTTTGTTTTCACGTGCCATCAAGTTGGCTACAACTCACAGCAATCCTAGGAACAAAAGATCTGAACCCTCCCCTATGCTGTGTCATCTTCATCATCTTTGATACACTTGAGTCCATTGTTATAGTCACAGTGCCAATCTGTCTCATTGAGGTATTCCTCTCATACTCTAATCCTCAACCTTTCTAAGCATGCTGTCTCTCTCCAAGGACTAGTCCCTCTTCATAACATGCCCAAAACATGTGAGACAGAGTTTCACTATCCTTGCCTGCAAGGAGCAACCAGGTTTCATCTTCTCCAGGATAGGCCTGTTTGTTCTCTTGACAGTAAATGGAATTCTCAATATTCTTTTCTAGTGCCAATGTATAAATTATTCTTGTGTCATCCTTAGTTATCGTTCAACTTTCAAATGCATGCAAGCAACTAAGAAGACCATGACTTGGCTAAGGCACACTTTAGGTTTGTATTTTAAGATAATGTCATGTTTCTTATGCTAAATATACTATATGAGTTTGTAGAGCATGCTTGCTGGATGCCACGCAGGGTTAAAAGTGGGCCCTGAACAGGTGGGTGGGATGAAGGCAGGAAAGGGTAGGCAAGCTTCATTCTGCCAGGGAAAAGCTGGGGACCTCAGGGACCCAGGACCCCTCATGAACAGCACTGAGGCAACACAGACTAGGACTGATGTCACAAACTGGCCAGCAACCACGCCACGTCCATAAAACTGCCACTACCATCTAATCTATGGACTAATGGAAGCTCTTCTCAGCCTACGTCCCAAGAGCCCTACAGGTTCTCAATTCCAAAACCAGCCAAAACGTTTCATTCAAATGGTTACATATTAAATGCTTTCCTGCATCTTTCTGTCTCAAATATAGCAGCAGCCCCCTTCCCACAGACTATCTCTCAAAATGATTTCTGTGTCAAGATAAAAAGGCCACCCCAAGCACGGAGAGGGAGTCTTAGCCGTGAGGGGCTCCTGCAGCGGTCCTAGTACACAGAGCCCGATGAATGTGGAGGTCCCGGCATCGCGGCCGGTCCCTGAATATTCTCTCCCCTCGACCACCTGTTACTTTTTTAGGGAGAGCAATAGCATTCACTTTCCTGAATAAGTCGCATCAAGTATTTGATTTCTGCTCCTCTCTTCCTGGCAGCGTCCTCCCGCTGTTTCTGGTCACACTCCTTCGCTTTCCGCTTCACAATTTTCTCTCGTTCACTCCTCAAGGGCTCCTTCGACCCCTCTAGATCCAGCTGCGTGCATTTTTTGGTTGTCTGTAGCATCCGGTTAGGGTTCTCGATGAGCTCTTCATTTCTCCTCCTTTACGGGGTCGCCTGCAGCCCCATCTCCACCTTTTTCTTGTTTCTTTTCTTCCCTGGCCTTCTGCTTCTCAGCTTGGAGCTGAGCGTCGACCTCCTTTGGGTTTTTTCCGTGCTCGGCCTTAAAAGCCGCCATTCCTCTCACCGTTAGGCGTCGAGCCTCCAGAGGTGGTGGCGGCGGCACCTAAGGTTGGCACCGGAACCGGAAACTCCTCGGGCTCGACTGTTTCCGCCCAGCACAGTGCCCTGCCCCAATCCCGTTGCTTCTGACACAGCTTCCGTGAAGCTTCCTTTAAACGGCTGTCTTTGCTCTTTAGCGCT